GGGGGCTGCTAAATGAGCTGGTGCATGTGACAGGGAGTTCTGGACTCAGCAGATCCCAGGAGACACTGGCCGTCACTGAGGCTTCTTCTTTTGAGACATCTGGTGTCCCAACTCATGGCCTTGTGGTGGCCCTCCTGCCAGCACACCTCTGCAGAGAGCCACAGGTCACCTTCAGCAGCACCCATGTCACAGGTCACCTCCCCTAGCTCTCCAGGCTGTCCAACATTTATACACAACAGGCTGACAGGGGACCCAACTAAGTGCTACAACCAATTATGTTTAAGACCAGCTACTTAGGTTTGATTTACACAAGTTAAGCTTGTCAAAACCAGTGCCCTTAAGACCACTTCGTATTTCAGATTTTTTAAAGAAGTCAGAAATTTACTATGAAAATAACAACAAGAGACCTCTGTTTCTACTGATGTCTATATTTTAAAACTTTGAGTAAGATTTACTCAGCCTTCGTAATATAAAATGTCTTTCAGGTTGTTGGGGTTTTTTTTTAAGAAACCTTTTTCTGTTTCTAGAAGTTTCTAGATAAATGGCTGTCTTGAGATATTACCCTTCTGGGGCTCAGCAAGATCTTCATGAGCGTCTCCAGTGCTCTAGGTGGGAACACTGGCTGCAAGTGTACTATATCAATTCTGATGCAGACACAGGAGTTGTTAGTCATCCTCTGAGTCACTCTCCTCCCTGGCTGGGACACACGCCCTGATTGAGGACATGAGCTGGTCCTGAATCTGCTTCCTGGGGTTCTCCTCCAGGTCTGTCTTGATGGCGCCCGACTCTGAAATCTTCCACTCCAATTCTGCACAGAGGAAAATGAGAGCCATGAATGTGGGGAAGCAAACCAGGCTTTCTCCGGCTCTGACTCCTTCTGACACAGGTTAGTTTATTTATTTCAGTACAACAGCACCTTGCACTTCCTACTTTACCTTCAGAGGTAAAAAAGGATCTCAGATCACCACAATTCCCCACTGCCCTTCCCACCCTCGCTTCCCCAGCTGATAGCTCTTATCACCCTGCCATCACCACCACCAAAACCAGGGCCCTGCTCTATTCCTCCCCCTCCCCTTCCACCCCCGGGTCCCAGTCCCTGCCTCCCACACCTGCTCCAGCAGAGCCCTCCCTTCACCATCACCAGTGCTGGCACAGGTTTCAGTCCAGGGAGCAGAGCTCAGGGTACTGCTCTGCAGCCCACCGCTGGCATCCCTGCTCGCTTTACCACCAGCAGTGCAAAACAGGTAATTGATACAGAGCAGCAGCTTTAGATGAGACAGTTCTCCCAGCGAAAAGGGAATCCCACCTCCTACCCAGGTAAGGGCAGAAAAAAAAAACAAAAAAACAGGTCTGCACATCTATTGCTGGTGAAGGAATACTGCTCATGTGTTACAGCTGTTTCCATCATACACCAGGTTCATCAGAGTCAGAAGTGGCAGATTTGCTGAAGGGCAAAAAAAGAAATCGTAGCAATTCCATTTACACATCTGAATTACAGGTATTTTTTCAGAGATGTACTCTGTAAATGTGATTCACCCCTTTCCCACTATGCCATGCACTGATTATTAGTTCCTTAGCAAGACAGTGAGAGAGACTCCACCACCAGTAGTAGGCCCATTACTATATAGGCCCAAATTGGATTGCTTCCCAGAAGTGGTAGAAAGTCAATACAGCACATTCAATTGAAACCTTTCTCCTAGTCCTGCTGGCAACCCTATCATTAAATCTAATTTCCTTCAGACATTACAGACTAACGAATACAACCTCACAGTTTCTTTAATCTCCAGTGGAAGTCACCTAGGCTTAGGAGAGAAGGAAGAAAGAAATAAAAGAAAGTGAAGAATTTCAGTGCCCAGCTTTCTGAGATGACTGCATTAAGCTGGCTCAGTCACCTTTGGACCCCTCCAAAATAAATTATTTGTGTACTAAAAATGGGAGAAAGCTAACTGTAGGTTCTGGTACCACTGCTCACTTCAGTGCATAATTAGGCAACCTCCATAGTAAGAGTTAGCTGTTCTCCAATCAGCTATCTCATTGGTGAGCTTTTCCCCTTCTGACAGCTCAAGTCAGGGGAGCATTTTCTACAGTACACACTCAAGATACCCTGTAAACTTCAGAGGTTTAGTTAAAAAAACCTCTTTGCATCCTATCCCAGTTATAGGCAGTGACATCATTCAGCAAGGGACCTTGAAATGCTGCTTAACTGCAGTTCACTTCAGATAAAGATGCTCTTAAAGTCTGACCTTGAAAGAGCTTGAAGGCACCTGGACCAATGTGGCTACTCAGAAAGCTGATGAGTATCCTTTTAACTGAAGTAAAATCCACTAGGTTGCATCCGAGTTGCATTTGCTTTCCAAGATGAGCCTTTTCCACCGCTGACCTCTGTCTTTAAGCACTGCTGTAGGATACCATCCCCAACCAACCACCTCCAAACAGCAGCTTTTACCGAACGCGAGACCTGCATCGCCGCCCTCATCTCCTGAAGCACCTCACGCTGACGAGGCTGCATGACCCAGGCTGTCAAGATGGGTGAGGAGAAATAGGTCTAGGGAAAAACCGGGACCTCCAGGAAAGGTAATAGCCTCTCCCCACAGAGCCCTGTGCCCCTGAACCACGGAGGCAGCAGCTTAATGTGCTCCAGGAGACAGCGAGAAGAAAAGGAAGCAGCCCCATTTCAGGGTAGCAGCCCCATTTGGGCAGAGGGATGGGCTCCCTTTAAAGGCTAACAAGGAGTGAAGCCTGCACGTCAGGAAGGTACAACAGACAAATACATGCCATTGGCTTGAAAATGAAACAAGAAGCCCTAAAATGCAATAGGCAAGCACCAGTTATCAAGTGCATGGATTATCCGGTAAGTGGGGGGACGGTCAGCCATTCAGGTACAAGAGCCACAAAGAATGTGCATGGATACTATTTACCCATTAAATATATTTAGGAAAATTTGTTTTACTTGACACAGGGTGTGAATACTTGCACACACATGAGATAAATATCTATGTTGGCCTACTCAGTCACTCAGTGCTTTTACAAGATAGCCTTAATAACATCTTGTTGAGCCATAAAGGTGCAAAAAAAAATTATTTTTAGTACCTCCCTTCTCCTCCTAAGCCTCACTTCTCTCATTCCCAGCAAAGCAGTTTTGCTTTTCCTTTGGAAGGTTGGAGATGCGGACACTCACCATCCCTTGTCAGGTTCATGCCACCAAACACCAAAGGCCCGATGAACTGAGCTTTGATGTCTCCCTCCAGGTAGACGAATATCGTAGGCAGATTCTTATCAGGGTAGTTGGGAATGCAGGTGGTAGAGATAGCTTTGATAAACTTCACATCTCTGAACTTCCTTGCAAGCCCACTCATATGTTGATTAATTAAGGCACAGAGTGGAATTCTGTGAAGAACAGCAACAGACACACGAGGAAAAAATAAAAGACAAATTAGACAGTAATCTGCTCCAGAAGAAAGGTCAGAAACATCAGGTCTATGAGTAGCATTTATGGAAAGACAAATGTACCAGAAGCGACTTCTGAATACTTTTGTCATCCAGTACCCCACCATTCAAAAGAAATTAGCATCACTGCAGGCTTTGGTGGGTGGTGGGTTGTTGGGGTTTTTTTTGTTTTGTTTTAAGATATCAGCAATACAACCTTCCTCTGTATCATACAGAGAAATTGGTTTATAAAGATAAGATATTTAGAAATTGCATAAGCAAGGGCAAAATAGAAAGAAAAGCAGCTCCTGGAAGAAAGTATGCAAATGACTATGCACTCCTGTGAGGCAATTAGAGACAATGAACAAAATCAAGTATCTCTAACCCTTTCCAGAAAATTCTAAAAACTTATCAGACCTTTATGACAAGTTTTTTCCATCATGCTGACAGGACTGGAAACCTTGTTCACTCGTTTTTTATGCCTCAAGAAACCAAGCTAAAGACACACAGTGATCCTTCTAATGCACAGTCCCTCACACTTTACCCAGAATAATTTCCAAAGCTTGGATATTTCAGTGGCGGCAGCTACCTCCATGGCAGCTGTATGGTACAAGTCATGCTGTGCTGTACAGATGTATAAAAAAGCCACTTCATGATAACATCGTTTTAGAGCCAAGTTCAGCACTCCTGAGTCAACAGTAATGAAATTACTAATCACCCCCCCCTTTTTTTTTTTTTATTTCTTAGAACGCCAGCATCAGTTCCTGAATTTCCACAATAACTACACACTTGTCTAGAGTATCTACAGCTATTGACAGTGAAAGGTTTAAAGGTTAAAAACAAATTCTTACCCTTGTTTGTAGAGGTGCAGGACTACCCATATACCTTTTCCAGCTTTCGTAACCTCTTGAACGTAATCTTTTCCTGAAATCTCCAGAACTTCCCCAAATTTATTCTTCATTTGAGCTGCTTTCATTTCTGCTAACCTTTGCTGCCTGAACAGCAAGAAACGGGAAAGAGATTTTGAGAATAGAGGTATTTTTGACAGAAAAACACTTAAAGGAGCTGGTTGAAACCTAGACTTCAGAGGCACATTACAAACTTCTTCAAATGCCAGAGCCACAAAAGCAAGATGACACAGTCAACAGATGCTCTTCTATTTGCATCACAAGTTAAAACCACCAACATGCAAAAAGTACAACTATGTTTCATGGATTATTCTTTTTTTCCTCATTTCTGCCCTCAGCAGACATTTCTTCTGCAGATAGTACACTCCCAAACTAAATGACAAAAACCATGAGAGATGGTAGAGAGAAAGAGATAATGGAAAACCAACCCTGTAATTATGTAAATCTGCAGCACCTTAATCTCATTCATGCAAAAATTGAGAAATCTTGGAGGTGATTTTCAAAGCTCTCAGAATCCCCAGCCATGCACTCAGCAGGTGCACATTATCTCTGCAAAACTAGGCTGTAGATAGAAGACACTGAATTTAAACCCAGTTATCCTATTAAAGACACTTAGAAGCTCTACAAGAGACCAGAATCACAACCCACTTTTTCAGTCATCAGGCCTAACAACATCCTTCCTCTTGTCAACAATATCTAACAGCATATAAATGAAAAAAAACTCCAATTTTCATTAAAGCTAAATTCTGCATGCTGCTCTCACCTGTACATTTCAATAGCTTTCTCATCTTCCTCATTAAATTCATCTTCATTCTCTTCCAGCTCTTCCAGAGTCATGTCCTCATAAGTTTTCACTAGAATGAAGAAACATCAAACCAAAAAAAAAAACTCGTTCTAGGGTTAAAACTCAGCTTTTGTCAGTCCAACAGAATTTACTTACTTTAAGGACAGATTAACTAGGGGAAACATGGCTTTTTTGAAGTATTATTGTTACTGGATTTTTAGAAAATACTATGCACTTTAGACACATAGATGGAAAGACAATGGTGTAAAAGACTGAGCTGAAGGCTGCCTAGGCCAGCACATGAGTACCTGCACTAGCTTTCAAGTTGGGTGGCTACAGCAAAGACGTAGCTAACACATGCACACACATGCACGCGCACACCCCCACCCACCCACCATGGCAGGGATGCCTGAACAACGGAGGAAGGAGGAAGCACGCAACTGGTAACGTCATGAGATACTTTTACTTGCACATTCACATGGCAGACTCCCTTCGCACTGTTTTATTTCAGTTTTCAAAATTTACTTCTGTAACAATACAGAGCTGACATGGAGAACAAAGCTTTCCTGTGCTGGAAAAACCCACGTGTTCAGGAACATATTTGTTTGCTACTGTTAAAAGATGATCACCCTCTACAAGAAGAAGCTTTGGTACCTCTTACAAACCTGGAAAAGGACACACTGGTTTACAG